ATAATGGGCCAATGTGACAATGAAGTACTCTGAGCCACTCAGTGTTACATAGGATTGCTAACCCTATCAGTACAGTGGTGAGAACAATGGGAAATGGACAATATGTGGTAAATTCAATGTTTTTATATAATCAGTCATGACAATCAGCACAGGGCCACTAAAGCAGTGGTTCTCAAACTTTTGTACTGGTGACCCCTTTCACACAGCAAGCCTGAGTGCGACCCCCCTTATAAATTAAAAAAATATTTTTATATATTTAACACCATTATAAATGCTGGCTGCAAAGCAGGGTTTGGGGTTGAGGCTGATAGCTCGCGACCCCCCATGTAATAACCTCGCAACCCCATAAGGGGTCCCGACCCCCAGTTTGAGAACCCCTGCACTAGAGGAACTGGAGGTGGCAGAAAAGTTTATTTTTATGAGATAAGGGAGGGAGTATGGATTTTAAGGGCTAGATTGTGTGATTTATACACAGTCCCACATTGGAGGGAATGTGGAGCAGTTCCCTCCCAAGGGGAACTCCAGGATAGATTGTGGCTCAGGAAACACAGTCCCATCCAGAACTCCCAGGTGTATGGGGGAGTGTGCATAGTGCACCATCCCTAGCCATGGCTCTCCATCCTCACCACAGGAGCTCTGACTGTGCCTATCCCTTGTACAGAGGGACACAAGCACAAGGCAAAAAATAAAGCAAAAGTTAAACCGTCCCCAACAGGCTGCTAACATAAATGGTGCTTGGCACAAAACATTTTAAGGAATATATAATTCATATTAGGAGACAGGCAAAATCAAGTCAAATAAATCAGGGTAAAATGCTAAGCAATGCATGTTTAATTCTATTACACCATGCCAGAAAATATAATATTATGAATGGTTAGTTATCATGACAACTGGTACAATTCTAACTATCCTAAAAAAATGTATTTATTTTAATAAGCTATGTCATATTACTCTCCCAGATACCTTCAGCAGGGAAAGCTTTAAATAACTCATAACACTACTTCATCCTACCAAACTCATCTCCTAAATCAAAATTATTCTGTAGGATTTAAAGTCTGCTATTAGCTCATATTTTTATCAAATAATGCATAATATGAATCAAGTGAGGCAGAATTGATTTACTGAGTTAATAGGACTCAACATGATTACATTCAAGAAAGAGTCTATGTGAAAAGTGTAGGTTTTATACCAATGAGATGTAGCAGAGCCTGTCACATGAGGTATCCAATTATACTCCAGCATGGAGAGAGAAACATTAACCCACCCTTAACCTCTGAAAATCTTTTTAAACAGAGAAAGCGGGCTAACCTTGTTTATCAACGTACATGCCCATATGCAAAATGGAAAATGAGGTTTCAAACAGATGCTCATTTATATGCAAGGATGTTACAAGTGTCAGGACAGCCTGTCAGAGGAACATGCATGTCTTTCTTTTATAATGCTTCTTGCTCTCCATGGAGAATGTTCTGGCTCTCTCCCCTTTCCCCTTAACCAAGAGGTTAAGTGACATATGCAACATGTATTCATTTTCGTTGATAGTCATTTAGAAGTAAGGCACACCCACCAACAGAAAGTGGCTGTACTTTTGGGACTCATTTGGTGATAAATGGTTTACTGAGTACACAAGTTAAATTAAAAATAAAATACTCTACACATCGGTGCATGTGAAAGAGGCTATAGACATATGCATATATATGTGGACATGGGGAAAAAGTTTTTTTTTATTTAAATTTGTGAGCTACAAAATTTTGTAACTCAACAAAACAACACAGAAATGCACTGCTTGTGGAATTTTGCACATCACTACAGGCAAACAAATATATATAATAGGTCTCAGTTTTCTCACAACCATAGAAAAATGACAGCAACTATCAATGAGCACAGAACATCTGCCACTGAAACAATAAAGAGTAGTAAAGAATACAAGACACTCAAGTGCCCATACTGAACAGATACTGGAGATTTATGTTACAGCTGACAGGATCACTCACTGAGTAGCCATGTACTTTTCTGCAAAATTAGAGGAGAGAGATGAGGCAGGAAATGAGATCCATTTCAAACTATCAACAGAAATACTGAATAGTGCAGCTGAATGGATGTCTATGCCAAATGTTGTATGCAGTGTTATGTAGCCATGTTGGTCTCAGAATATTAGAGAGACAAGATGGGTGAGGTAATATTTTTTATTGGTCCACCTTGTTTTTCCAAATCCATCAGAGTCCTACTGTTGTTTTCAAAAAGCAAAAATCAGGCTATGTCTATACCATGAGCTAGAGATGCGACTGTCCTGCTCATGTACACATACTCACGCTAGCTCTCATCAAGCTAGCACGAGTATAAATAGCCGTGTACCCATGGTAGCACTCATAGCAGCAGCAGAGACACGTCTGAGCCGTGCCAAGTACATACCCACTGGTTTGCGGCAGGTTTGTACTTGGCACATGTCTCTGCTGCCACAACCAGTGCTACCATGGCTACACTGCTATTTACAGTCATGCTAGCTTGATGAGAGCTAGTGCAAGGACATGCGTGAGCTGGGGAGCCACATCCCTAGCTCACAGTGTAGGCGTTGCCTTAGTTTCAAGAGGAAGCTAGTCTCTGACATGTTTATGCACCGACACACCTCTGCCGCATAAAGTAGCCTGTAAGCAAAGGAGTGCCTCTCTTCATATGCATAGCTCGGACAATCATATACTGTAAATTGTTTACATTTTCTGAGAACGGTAAAGTAGTTCCACCCCTTCCTGAGGGTTGCAACTAACAGGCACAGAGGGGGAAGTAATGCTACCGTTGCAAGCACTAACTTTTGCTTAAAAATCAAACAGGTGAGACCTGTAACCAGCACAGAACATTCCTGGATCCAGGTAACTGCCCTCTGCATTCCATTCCAGGAGGCTGTAAGCTCCTTCATTAGAAGGAAATGATATTGAGAAAAGCTTATGAAGAAAATCTTTCAGGGTTTCCAATGCAGTTTTTCCTCTAACTCATGTTTAATACAGATGGGGAACATCTGCCCCATGATATGAATAGCTATATAAACAGATTAGGAAATAAACACACAATAATAATGATGATCATTTATATGGTGCTATACTGGTGGGATTTTCAAAAGCTTTCCATGTTGGCCTGACTCTGCTCCCAAATCTATCACAGACTTCAATGTGAGCAAAGTAAAACCAATGCTGAGTGCTTTTAAAAATCCCACTCTATATATTTTAAGCATTAGACATTAACTAATTAATACTCACAACCCCCAATGCGAGGCAGGTACAATAGTAACCATTACTACCTTAATTTTGACAGTTGGGGCACTTGAGGCAGAGAGATTGATTGATTTGCCCAAGACCACAGAGCCTGGTGGCAAAGCTAGGACTAGATTCCAGTTTCCTAGCTCCCAATCTATGCTCTAGCCACTAGATAACTATTTAGGTAGTTAGTAAGATGGAACAGATGATAAAACAGTATCCTCATAAAACATTACCATTCTATAAATACAAATGATATAGGAAGAAATTAAGATAATGACTCACTGGCATTTATTCCACGATCAAGCAGTTGGATTTCAGGGTTGTTAGGATGCTCGTTGTTTTGGGGTTTGGGTTTTTTGTTTTGTTTTTTGTTTCTTATTTTAGTGTTTCCTATTTATTCTATAAAAATCTTGTCAAATGTGATGCACAAATATCAGAAAATGTAATGGAGAAAAGATGAAAATATTAAACACAACATTAAGATTAAAAAGTAAAAAATCTACAATTTCACCACATTAGTAACAATATAGGCTAGGTTTAAAAAACTGGGGCTCTTGAATGCCTCTAATATTTCAATTAACTTGTGATAAGAAGAAAACTTGGCTAAATTTTCAAGTATTATGGACTAAATCTTCAATCCTGCAAACACTTGTGCACATGTTTAATTTTATGCACAGGGGTAATCCCATTGAAGTCAATGAAACTACTCATGCCTGGAAAGTTAAGTACATGCGTAAGTACTCGTCTGGATAGAGGCCTAAAATCGTAAAACCTATTGTTTCTATTACTAAAATTCAGGAACTATTTATTATGTTGGGGCCAATTCCTGCAGTCACCTCTTAGTCCTAAATATCCCCACCTAGCTGCCAAATCTTCCAGCTTCCCCCTGACATTTTGACAACGCAGTTATGCGTTTTCAACCCACATATCTAAATCACACTGAAAATCCAAAAGAGGGTGGCAACTTAAATTCAATCTAACATCAAAATAAACATCACAAGTTTTGTTAGACTGATTGGACTGTACTGGAGAGAAACAGTGAGGGGAAGAATCCTTGGGTGAAGCAGTGATGCATAATTCTGGGATGCCAGAGGAATTATGTAGGTCTAATATTCTGCTTAAGACACAAGACCTTGTTCACAGAGTCTCTCGGCTTGTGTAGATGGCCCCACATTCTGGACTACAGGGATATGAACTGCAGCGTACACTAGCATGCTGCACTGTAACTCCCTCATGTGGACACTTCAAGCACAAACTAAAAGTTTGGGTTAATAAAGTTCTCTTTAAACAGGACTTAAGTTAATGAGAACTAGGTGCCTTTTCATTTGCACCTGCAGCATCCACAGAGGGGAGTTACAGTACAGCATGCTCGGGTGAGCTGCAATTCACACTCACATAGTCCAAACTGCAGAGTGCTATGAACATAGCAAATAAAAGAAATTCCTTTTGATTACATGTTTTCAGGCTACTCTACTGTACTATATATTTGAATCTACAAAAATGTACTTCTATCACTAATCCACACTCCTTTGTCACTTTTATTCATAAAGTTGGAAATCTTAGCTCCAGCCAATGTTAGTATATTTATGTCAGTCTAAAACAAAAATAGGGTAGAAAACACATTTTAAAGAGAAACTTCAGGAAAATTTAGTAATTTCAGCTTGACTTCCTGAAAACAGAGTGAATCATCTTTGGCCAAAGAAAAGGCTTCTTCTTAGACAAAATAAACAGAAGTGTTCAAATAGGGCTTACCAGTCTGTTGTGTTTGTGCCATTCTTTTTGGATAAGTCTTACTACGACTTCTTTCAACATTTTGGTCAGGCCGAGGAAGCTGGACAGAAAGTTCTCTGCTCATCTGCAAAGCTGTCCTGCCACTTGAAAATGCAACAAAATCAATATGATGGACAAATGGAAAATTGCAAAGTGAACCTTAAAGAAATTTAACATTTTTAGTTAGAGCAATTATGCTGGTTGGGAGACCAATGAATTAGTCATCAACCTTTTACCCATGGAACCTTGAGTCAAGTTCTAATATTCCTGCTCACACAGCAGGTTGTGTGGTATTAACTACAATGCTATTCATTGTGATTTTGTTTCAAATCATACCTTGGCACAACTGCCAACAGATCATGCCATTCTCTCCTGCATTTGGTATTTTTCCAACTGAGTGTAAGGAAACAGTTCCAGAATCCACACAAAATGCTACTTTACTGAGAATTAAGACAGTAGCCAACACAGTTTGGCCTTTTTTTTGGCCTCACGATAACCTTCAAGCATGTAATTTGATTGCTGTAATTTTATTTCCTGAATTAATTTTTAGAGTCATTTGTCTTACTAAAATATACCTTAACATTGCTCTGTTTGAGGCAACACATTGCTGCCTTAATATTTCACAGCATCAAAATGGGAATGATAAAGTGACACCAAACTCAGTGCAATGCCAGACTGCAACAAGCTGTTAACACCAAAAAATTATAGGACCTAATTTTCATTTATGCTAAGGCCCCTTTTCATTGCAAAAGCAATGTAAAAGGGACTTCACAGTGTGAGAAATTATATTTACACCCATTTTAAAGCTCTGTCATACATGACTACACAGTGTAAAAAGTTGCCTTAGTATAAATGTGAATTAGGCCATAGGTTGTAAATATAGGCACTTGTTCCTGAAAAACGTATCGCCTTGTGCACCCACTGCAGCTCAAATTTTTCTTTCTTTTAGACATTAGGGAAAAAACAAAAATTAATTAAAGTAATTAAAACCTAAGCGTTTCTGTGTTAACAATAATGGGGAAAGATATTAAACAAACAAAAAAATTAAATGTATAATAGAGACAAGCTTCATAACACACAATGAACAAATAAGGTAAATCTCTGTATCACAAAAAACTGTGACTCCAGTTTGGACCTATGTTACTGAACTGTTTTCAGTAAAATTAAGTTACACTTCCCCTCTCCCTGTAAAAAACAAAACAAAACCAGATAGTAAGACTAAAAATTTATTCTAGAATTTCTGGATTTAACCTTAAAGTGATATGAATCATAAATGACAAATGCAGGTTTATACAAAACATCTGTGAATGAACAAATAAGATATATTAACCAGATAGCACTATGAATTTTATTTATTTTCTGCTGTCACACAATAAGATCAATTAAACACTAACATTATTTTACTAATAACACTAATACTATCTAACAGTATTTCAGTTTCAACAAAAATAAAATGCAGAGACTTTTACGTTTTTTTATAGATCGCTCTTACATTTATTTTAAATTAAGGTTTTTGGAAAGATCATTTCTAGCAGTAATTCCCAGTTGCCACATCTGCAGTGCAATGATTTAAAAACATTCAGGAGCATTTCTAATGAGTGAAGAGCAATGATACCATGTGTTAAGCATTGTAATTAGTATTTGAGTTATGTGAACATCTATTTGCATCAACCCTTTTTTTTTTTTAATTTCTTTAAACATCAGAAAATATATTTAAGGGGAAAAAACCATCAGATTGGATCAAAGTATTATTGGTTTTAAGTTTCAAATTATTTTATTCTGCAGGCTAGGCAGAAAATATTAACAAATGTTATAGCTCTGCAACCATGTTAACCTTTGTAAGCCCCCAACAGCAGCCTTCATTAATCCCCTTTGGGCAGCACCAAATCTAAACAACTAATCTGATAATGGGGAGTTCAGCTTGCTTACAAACTACCAGACTCCAAACAAACAAATAACCCAGAGGCTAACAAGAAAAGGTTATGACCCCCTCTCCTCAGGCATGGAATTACAGCTTCTGTCTTGAGCTTACACTACATATGCAGAAGTGCAGTTTTATTGTTGCCCCTCAACGATACAACCCACCCCCAAAAAACAATGAAATAAAGAACAGGTGGGGTAGTGGGAATCAGATCTACAGTGCAAGCAAACAGCTGATGCTTTAAGCACATGAAGATGCTGTTAATTACAGTTGCCAATATGCATTTAATGAAGCAACAGTTACTGAATCTCAAATACCAACCAATTGAATAATGTTCACTATCATATTGGTAATCAATACGCTTCAAATGCCCAGTAGCTGAACTGTAATAGGATAGTCCCAATCTTTTTTAAAATTCCAAGTTATTAAAACACTAACCCAGGTCTGGGGAAAACCCTTGCAGATCAACACAGCACAAGTAAGGATTCCTTTTTCCCTTCTGGTGATAAGAGAAGATATTATCTGGAATGTTTAAAAAACATTTTTGCAGTCGACAAAGACCCATCCCAAGAGGTGAATTCATTATCACCACCAGCCACCTTGATGCTGTATACAGACAGCCTGTGACAAATGAAGGGGGAAGGTATGAGACTAGAGCACCAGGGGCAGAAATACTGAAGTGTGGCCAACTGCAACAAAAAAATGTTAAATCTCATGCCATGGGTGCAATGGAGGCAAAATTTCTTCTCCTACAGCAAAGCGTCTGCCACATCCCAATCAGCAGAACTGTTCCAGCCGGTGGACAGCCTGGGTCCTCTCTACTCTGGCACAGAATCAAGTGGTCTCTCCAACAAAGAGTAGATTGGAAGCCCCTGTGGAGCCATATCCTTCTCTACTAAGATTTTGGTCCTCTTTTGTTAACTGAGGTTCCGGAGATGCTTAAGATGTTGAGGGTTATATGACTTATGATTTTAGGTTTGTGTTCCTGGGAGGCAGTGATAAGGATACTGTACTCCATACTGTGACATTCAAACTTGGCCATGGTGTTCCATGATTATGGTATAGCATAGTACTTAAGACTTGTATTGCACTTTCTGTTGAAAGGTCTCTAAACACCTTACAAAGATGAAAAAGTGTTTTTATCTCCTTTTGACAAATGGGGAAACTGAGACTGAGGGTATGGCTACACTATAGGGATTACACTGGCATAGCTCCTTCGCCATAGCTATGCTGGCAAAACCCCACACAGCATAGGCACAATCTACATAGACAGAAGGGGTTTTTATGCCATGTAGGAACACTACTTCCCCCAAACAATGGTAGCTAGGCGGACGGAAGCATTCTTCCATTGACCTCATTGCATCTACACAGGGGGTTTGGTCAGCATAGCTCCTTTGGTCAGCGGTGTGGATTTTTCACACTCCTGACTGATGTCACCAGCCTGAGAAAAGTCAGTGGCCTGATTTCCAGAGATGGTGAATACCTGCAGCTCATAAGGAAGTTGGAGCTGCAAGTGTTCAGCACTTCTGTAAATCACACCATAACTGACTTACTGAAGGTCACACAGCATATATTTGCCAAAGCTGGGTCTAAAGCACAGGTCTTCTGGCTCCAAATCTTGTGCCCCAACCATTAGACAAGGAAACCTTAAATTCACCAAATTGGTTTGATCTATCCCTAGCTTAGCCAAAAAGCACCAGATCCTTAGCCCCACTATGGCTCATCTGTACTGCTTTGGCAACACTTGGGGCTGTAAAGCTAGTTTAACTGGCCTTCTGAGGAATGCCCATAGTTAGTAGATTTCCCTACGGCTCTCTGCCATCCCTAGTGCTAGATCTCTGCATAAGAATCCTGGCCAGGATCCTTCCATGCTCTGGTGATCCACACTTGTTGGAACAGCCCCTTCAGGCCATGGGCTAGGTGTAATTTAGAACATCCCTAAGGCTTCTCTATGCTGTGCTATGGGCTGTACTGGCCCCCAGGGATCAGGGAGCCACAAAGCAACCTTGGCCCCTGCCTCATTGCCTCCCTCCCAGTTCCTGCTTTGAGCACAGCTAAATCAGACCAGAAAATCTGGCTCTGCATCTCACACTGTTTAATCTGTGAACTGGAATGTTATGATTAACAGTTTTTCTGAGGGGAAATGATCTGAATGTAAAGATTTTAAGGTGAAATAGATTTACCTGTACCGATGTTTATAGCCTACGGATCCAAACTTGCTGAATTTTCTTGACTGAGAGCTTGACTCATTTTCTGGCATTCTACATTATTTTAAGAATAACATGACACAGTAAAATTACATACACTCAAATATATAGTAAATAAACTAATTAATGTACATGTAGAATGGTTTTAGGATGATGCAATGCTATTATAAGACAAAGTAATCTCCTCCACTCGTAACAGAAGTTGTGGGCACAAATTTGCAGGTCCACAAAGGGGAAGCATGGCTCCTCTGTAAACTCCTCATCCCCATGTCATGGCAGGCTCCCCATGGGTGCTCCATGGGGCTCAGAGTTCCATGAATCCATGCAGGTGAGGCTAGATCTAGATGGATGGCTTCTTTCTGTGCCATCACCCTTACCCAAACCCCACAGAACATTCCTGTGCAGAGTCCTGGGAATCAACAGCTGAACCAGCACTCTGGTCATTTAAATACCAATCGATTTCCACCACGGTGACCCTGATGGGGCCTAATTAATGGATTTGAATGGGGTGGGGGAGGACTAACAAGCAAATTGGTCCATTAACACAGAATGTATAAAGCAGCACAGAAGAGGGAGGCAGGCTAGCAGAGCCAAAACCAGGAAAGGTCTCTGGGTAGTGAGATCTCTTCCCTCTCCTCAGCAAAGAACTGAGGAGAAACTGACACTATAAATAATTATTGTGTATGGATCAATAAGGTAGTGGGAAGAGCTAATGTAACTAAACTGCGCTTGAGTGTTTAACAACTGAAAGTCTTATAGTCGATGTAGACAGAACAGAAGACAGGAACAGGATGTCGCCCTGTCACAATCCCCATGAAAGTTAATGCTGAGTGAGGGCATGTCTACACTACACCAATTGGGAGCGGGGAGCCGAGAGCCCAGGGGGTACAGCCGGGCTCCCAGCAGGGAGATCTGTGCCCGGGGTCCAGTTGGCTGCTGTGCTCTTGGCAGGGAACGGGGAGCCAAGAGCCTGAGCAGGGGGGCAGCTGGGCTCCCGAAGGGGAGATCTGCACACAGAGTCCAGTCCGCTGCCATGCTCCTGGTGGGGAGCCAAGAGCCCGGGGAAAGCCAGGCTCCCAGCAAGGAGATCTACATCCAGTGTCCAGTCAGATGCCCTGTTCCCAGAGGGGAGTGGGGAGCCAAGAAGCCCAGATCAGAGCTGGGAGCCTGGGCAGCAGCCTGGCTGGGAGCAGGGGGCCGGAACCGCAGGGGGCAGCAGGACTCCCTGTGGGGAGCCCAGGTGGCAGCCTGACCCGGGAGCCTGGGTGGCAGCCTGGCTTACAGAAGAGACCGGGTAGCAGCCTGGCTGGGGAGCTGGCTTTCTTGTCCATTTCATGGTTCCAGCAGAGCCCCCTTGAACATTCCTCTGCACCCCCTTAGGGGTTGCACCCCACAGTTTGGGGAACACTGGTCTACAGACAGGAACACTGTGGCGCTCTAACTACACTGATATAAGCCCTACACCTCTCGTGGAGTTATTATGTCGGTGTAGTATGGCACTTATATCGGCGGGAGCAAGGCTGTAGGGTATACACTGACATAGCTTATGTGAGCTGCCTTATGTCAACCTAATGCTGCAGTGTAGACCAGGCCTGAGTCACTGTTAAATTGTGCAAGTTCCTCCTTTGTAATGTGGATTACCCTTGAGTGACACACTGGGATCAGCAGCTGATGGGGGAAGAGGGCCGGCAGCACACCTCCCGTATTAGCTGTGCTGCATGCATCCTGGGGGAGCTGAGGAACAGGAGGCAGTGCAAAGCTACAGGGTTTTGAATGGCCCTTGCCTCCTGTTACTCCACCAAGTGCCACAGTTTTGGAGGTCCAAAGACCTTGCCACTTCTTTGGTGGTGGGACAAACCCTGCGAACTTCTATCCCATGAAAGAATGGTGAATAAATTCTGAGTGTGTGAAGTCATGGAGTTTCCTCATCTTTACATTCTGAGAACGCATCTAAGGGAGCATTGTGCCCATTGTTGAGGGCATGTCAGTGTTGCAATATTATCAGGGCAGGACTTTTACAAGGGTTTGTAACACAACTGAACAAATTTGCTTCCAACTGAAACTTGCTTTGCACAGGGACATGCCCATATCATTTGAAGATGCATACATACATCTCAGGATTTGCTGTACGCAGTCATGCCGTGCAACAGGGTAGCTTGTCCCTCTGAGGGCCAGGACACCTGAGGCCAACCTGCTCTGTTCAATTTATCAGACCCAGATGGGGAAGGGGCCAGGGAACAGGGGTTCAGGTGTGCCTTATAGAGGGGCTGAGAGAGGTCAGTTGAGTGGGAACTACAGGAGGGAGGTTGGCTTCTGCAGTAGGCCTTGAAGCAGGGAGATTGGAAGGAAGGGTGTATCCTCTTTTCAGCACTGTGAGAGTCAAAGGGAAAAGCCTCTAGGAGCGACAGCCCAAGGTGAGAAGAGAAAATGCTTTTTGTGTTTGATGTTTTTGCATACATTCTATAGAAGAAGAAATAAAACTATGCCTGGAAAGAGACTTGGGTAGGGCATGGCTCACAGAGGAGCCTAGAATCAGGAGGGCACGAGAGTGGCTTAAGGCCACCCTAACCCATCACCCCCTGTGCTGTGAGTTTGTGCTATCCTTCTGAGAGGTGCAACAAGAATCTCAACCAGCACATTTATCTTCTGTTGTCATAACATAGTAAAATCTTAATAACTTTACCTCCACTCACCTAAAGAACGTATGGTGCTCGACACAGCATTTCCAAAGATGTTTGCATGTGGTTTTGTTACGTGCTTCAAAAAAGAAGGATGTTTCATTGCACTGAAATAAAAAGAGACAACATTACTATGAAAGATTCTTCCTATGGAGTGGATTTTTACTTGCCGAGCTACACATGTGGGGCCTGGTTCTCCTCTCCCTTGTGCCAGTGTAAATCAGGAGAAACTTCACTGAGGTCAACAACGACTTACTGGCGTATGTGAGAGGCGAAGCAGGCCCTTAAAACGGAATCACAGAAACTGAAGGAAGAAAAGAATGGTAGGTCCTTAAAATATTTTGTCACTTCTGGTTTTATGTATTATATTACTGACAAGTATTTTACTAGCAAAAACCCATATTTTTTCATATATTCTATTAGTGATGGTTTCTCAAACCACACCTTAAAAGGCCAATCAAAAGCACACATTTCCTCCCAAAATAATTTTTCATTTTATTACATTAAAATTTGTGTGAGATTACAAAACTCAATTTATCTGAAATTTCAGATAGTACAAGTAAGTAACATTTATAACATAATACTTATAAACAACCAGGTCCTGGGCAAATGACATTAGTAAAACTATGTGCAAGTCTGTGACTAGGATCTTGTAAAGGCTTTATTTACTAATGCACAGAGGAAAGAACAACAGGGAGCAGAGAAAAAACATAAAGGACGGTAAGAATAAGGCAGGTGGGGTGGACTAAAGCAAAGCAAAAGGACACAAAAAGGTGGGGGGAGTAAAACTGGAAATCAAGAAGACAACTGGAAGAAGTGACACAAAGAAAGAGAGAATAGGAAGAAAATTAACTAACTATAGAATGCAATGATTTGAAATATGTGGGAAAGGGAGCAGGAGACAGAAAATCTTGGAAGATAGCAACTTTGGGAAGGCTTCTACAAGCAGAAAGATGAAAAATGAATGCTCAAAACTTAACTAGCTAGAGACAGATGGAAATCAGTCAGATGGGAGATTGCTATCGGTTTCTACCATCATTGCCATACATGGTATAAAGAAGACATATGATGATGAAGGAGGAGGAGGAAAAAGGAAATTTACAAATCATAAAATACCTCAAATGAAGTGGTGTCAACAAAGGATTGAAAGGATGATCAGGTCTGTATTTTTTTTATTTTCTTTGCTTACTGAAACATCGTTCCTGGGATACATGTTACAATAGGTGGAAGTGGACCACGCACCTCGTATATATTTTTTGATATTTTGTTTTGCAAGAAATCACAAATCTGTGCCGTCTGTGCAGACCATGGCTTGTGTGTGTTACTGCTAATACCAACCTTCACTACGCATACAATGGGAACTCCATTGTCTAATAAAGTGATTCTAAACTGAGCTATAAATTTCCTTTCTGATAGACTGCATTCATAACCCAGCCTATGAAATAAATTGGTATGTACAGTAGCATGTTCAGCAAATGAATCAACTGTGCATATCTGGCACAAAAGGAATTTCAACATTAAGTGGCTAGCTAGCTAGAAGATAGGATTTAGGAGGAAAAAATTCCCCCTTTTTGTAATGCTGTCTGCCTAGGCCAAGATTTTCAAAATATGCACACCTAAAGCCAAGATCCTAAGCAGCGCTCTACTTGTGCCAGGGCTTGCACCACTAGGCGTGGCAGTTCATCGCCCCGGAATCTCTGTGCTTGTTGCCTGAGTTATGAAAGTAAAAAAATTGCTTGAGCCCCGGAACCTAATTGCTTGAGCCCCGGCACCTCTTTCATTACAAATAAGCACTGATCCTGAGCCCTGGTCTACACTAGGACTTTAGGTCGAATTTAGCAGCATTAAATCGATGTAAACCTGCACCCGTCCACACGATGAAGCCCTTTATTCAATTTAAAGGGCTCTTAAAATCGATTTCCTTACTCCACCCCAACAAGTGGATTAGCGCTTAAATCGGCCTTGCCGGGTCAAATTTGGGCTACTGTGGACACAATTTGACGGTATTGGCCTCCGGGAGCTATCCCAGAGTGCTCCATTGTGACTGCTCTGGACAGCACTCTCAAGTCAGATGCACTGGCCAGGTAGACAGGAAAAGAACCGCGAACTTTTGAATCTCATTTCCTGTTTGGCCAGCGTGGCAAGCTGCAGGTGACCATGAAGAGCTCATCAGCAGAGGTGACCATGATGGAGTCCCAGAATCGCAAAAGAGCTCCAGCATGGACCGAACGGGAGGTACAGGATCTGATCGCTGTATGGGGAGAGGAATCCGTGCTATCAGAACTCCATTCCAGTTTTCGAAATGCCAAAACCTTTGTCAAAATCTCCCAGGGCATGAAGGACAGAGGCCATAACAGGGATCCGAAGCAGCGCCGCGTGAAACTGAAGGAGCTGAGGCAAGCCGACCAGAAAACCAGAGAGGCGAACGGCCACTCCGGGTCAGAGCCCCAAACATGCCACTTCTGTGATGAGCTGCATGCCATTTTAGGGGGTTCAGCCACCACTACCCCAGCCGTGTTGTTTGACTCCTTCAATGGAGATGGAGGCAATACGGAAGCAGGTTTTGGGGACGAAGAAGATGATGATGATGAGGAGGATGTAGATAGCTCACAGCAAGCAAGCGGAGAAACCGGTTTTCCTGACAGCCAGGAACAGCTTCTCACCCTGGACCTGGAGCCAGTACCCCCCGAACCCACCCAAGGCTGCCTCCTGGACCCAGCAGGCGGAGAAGGAACCTCTGGTGAGTGTACCTTTTAAAATACTATACATGGTTTAAAAGCAAGCATGTGAAAGGATTACTTTGCCCTGGCATTCGCGGCTCTCCTGGATGTACTCCCAAAGCCTTTGCAAAAGGTTTCTGGGGAGGGCAGCCTTATTGCATCCTTCATGATAGGACACTTTACCACTCCAGGCCAGTAACACGTACTCGGGAATCATTGTACAACAAAGCATTGCAGTGTATGTTTGCTGGCGTTCAAACAACATCCGTTCTTTATCTCTCTGTGTTATCCTCAGGAGAGTGAGATATAATTCATGGTCACCTGGTTGAAATAGAGTGCTTTTCTTCATGCCACACTCAGAGGAGCCCATTCCTGCTGGGCTGTTTGCCTGTGGCTAAACAGAAATGTTCCCCGCTGTTAGCCACAGGGAGGGGGGAAGGTTGAGGGGGTAGCCACGCGGTGGGGAGAGGCAAAATGCGACCTTGTAACGAAAGCACATGTGCTATGTATGTAATGTTAACAGCAAGGTTTACCCTGAAAGAGTGTAGCCACTGTTTTATAAAATGTGTCTTTTTAAATACCGCTGTCCCTTTTTTTTTCTCCACCAGCTGCATGCGTTTCAATGATCACAGGATCTTCTCCTTCCCAGAGGCTAGAGAAGCTTAGAAAGAAAAAAAAATGCACTCGCGATGAAATGTTCTCCGAGCTCATGCTGTCCTCCCACACTGCCAGAGCACAGACGAATGCGTGGAGGCAAATAATGTCAGAGTGCAGGAAAGCACAAAATGACCGGGAGGAGAGGTGGCGGGCTGAAGAGAGTAAGTGGCGGGCTGAAGACAGGGCTGAAGCTCAAATGTGGCGGCAGCGTGATGAGAGGAGGCAGGATTCAATGCTGAGGCTGCTGGAGGACCAAACCAGTATGCTCCAGTGTATGGTTGAGCTGCAGCAAAGGCAGCTGGAGCAGACTGCCACTACAGCCCCTCTGTAACCAACCGCCCTCCTCCCCAAGTTCCATAGCCTCCACACCCAGACGCCCAAGAACGCGGTGGGGGGGCCACCGGCCAACCAGCCACTCCGCCACAGAGGATTGCCCAAAAAAAAGAAGGCTGGCATTCAATAAATTTTAAAGTTGTAAGCTTTTAAAGTGCTGTGTGGCATTTTCCTTCCCTCCTCCACCACCCCTCCTGGGCTACCTTGGTAGTCATCCCCCTATTTGTGTGATGAATGAATAAAGAATGCATGGATGTGAAGCAACAATGACTTTATTTCCTCTGCAAGCGGTGATTGAAGGGAGGAGGGGCGGGTGATTAGCTTACAGGGAAGTAGAGTGAACCAAGGGGCGGGGGGGTTTCATCAAGGAGAAAAACAGAACTTTCACACCGTAGCCTGGCCAGTCATGAAACTGGTTTTCAAAGCTTCTCTGATGCATACCACGCCCTCCTGTGCTCTTCTAACCGCCCTGGTGTCTGGCTGCGCGTAACCAGCAGCCAGGCGATTTGCCTCAACCTCCCACCCCGCCATAAACGCCTCCCCCTTACTCTTACAGATATTGTGGAGCACACAGCAAGCAGTAATAACAGTGGGAATATTGGTTTCGCTGAGGTCTAAGCGAGTCAGTAAACTGCGCCAGCGCGCCTTTAAACGTCCAAATGCACATTCTACCACCATTCTGCACTTGCTCAGCTGGTAGTTGAACAGCTCCTGACTACTGTCCAGGCTGCCTGTGTATGGCTTCATGAGCCATGGCATTAAGGGGTAGGCTGGGTCCCCAAGGATACATATAGGCATTTCAACATCCCCAACAGTTATTTTCTGGTCTGGGAATAAAGTCCCTTCCTGCAGCTTTTGAAACAGACCAGAATTCCTGAAGATGCGAGCGTCATGTACCTTTCCCGGCCATCCCACGTTGATGTTGGTGAAACGTCCCTTGTGATCCACCAGAGCTTGCAGCACTATTGAAAAGTACCCCTTGCGGTTTATGTACTCACCGGCTTGGTGCTCCGGTGCCAAGATAGGGATATGGGTTCCGTCTATGGCCCCACCACAGTTAGGGAATCCCATTGCAGCAAAGCCATCCACTATGACCTGCACGTTTCCCAGGGTCACTACCCTTGATATCAGCAGATCTTTGATTGCGTGGGCTACCTGCATCACAGCAGCCCCAACAGTAGATTTGCCCACTCCAAATTGATTCCCAACTGACCGGTAGCTGTCTGGCGTTGCAAGCTTCCACAGGGCTATCGCCACTCGCTTCTCGACTGTGAGGGCTGCTCTCATCTTGGTATTCATGCGCTTCAGGGCAGGAGAAAGCAAGTCACAAAGTTCCATGAAAGTGCCCTTACGCATGCGAAAGTTTCGCAGCCACTGGGAATCGTCCCAGACCTGCA